TGTGAAAAATAACACTGATGGTTAATCAGGTACACATTTTTTTAACCTTACTTAGTAAATTTTAGAAAACAGTGATTAAAGATCCTAGATACTTGCTGTCTTGTTTGATTGTTCTTCATCATATCTATCTTTATAATGATGGTTTAGTTTAACAAAAAGAAATATTACAAGTGAAATTAAAACTAATCTGAAGTTAAGAAGTGAGAGCAGCTTGACAGATCTTCTTAAATGTGGACAACTATGTCACCTGCTGGTGTGAATAGTGAAGCGGCGTATGTCAGCTTTAAAAGTGACGCATGTTTTGCTGTGAGTCACTGTGTCTGAGTCATACTCTTACAAAATGATCAAACCCAACAGCTCTTTGACTCCCTCTCTGTAAGGAAGCAGGGCTGTCCCTGTGTTGCTTTTATAATGCTCTGTCTTGAATATTCTGTCCACGGATCTCTTGTTTTTCCCACTGGCAGTGTGACAGGAAGTTTTCTCTGCAGGCAGATGAGATCAGTTGGATCCCTGAGGGAAGATTTCACTTTCCCCTTTGGAACGTCAGTCGGCAGAGAGCAGCAGGCAACACAACTAGGAATGGAAAATTACTCAGCACCTTCTCATGGGAAAATACCTTTTCGGATTATGTCATGTTTTGAGTTCAAACATAAAGTTAATTTATTGGGATTTTATGTGATGGAAGAAGAAGTGAAAAAGCAGAAGGATAATGATATTGAATCCATGCTTTATCTTGCAATATAGGGAAAACTGAGAAGTGTTTCATCCATCTAGATGCATACCATTGAATCCAGATTTTTAGGAACCGCCTTTCACTCAAAAACATATTTCCCCGCATATTTTAAGATTTATGTCATTCTATGCATCATCCATCTTCTCCCTCTTATTCCTTGAGGTCAGTCCTTATCTCCAGCAGTCTATGGTCGAAAGGCGGGCTATCCTGGACAGGTCACCAGTCTGCTGCAGACAAAATTCACAATATAAACATTTTTTAACAGTCATATGTGTCCTGAAACATTTGTTTGAGGTTCACCAATGAAAATAAACCTTTGATGTCTGTTATTGCCTTTCCCCACCTCTTAGCTAATGTATGCTCAAAATGCTTTGTTTGAAAAGCATTCCCCTTATGATGTCATAAGGGGAAATAAGTTGTCAAGAGCTATCTGTAGCAGCCCATTGGTCAAGTTCCAGCCTTCATCTAATGTATTATTCCAACCCTCCTAGGCTATCTTTATGAACTGTGACTGGTTGTCATGGCTGCAGGTTGTCTGAGTATGGTCTTTGGGAAAGTCAAATCAGCTCCTCCAGAAGAGGTCTGAATGAGGTTTTTGGTACATACAGTAATCTAAGAGTAATTTTCCTGCACAAATGACAAAAGCATACTCTGGGGCATCATTGTTAATATATATATATATATATATTTTCAAATATATCATAATATTGTATCTTTAATAAAATACATTTACTCCAAATTAATACTAATCATTGTATTTGTTCCACAAGCATAAAGTTTATCTCTTGAATTGCATGATATTCAGGGTTACTTTAAGCAGTTTAAACAATAAACTGCATGTATTTGAAATAAACACATTCATTTGCATTAATTTTGAGTAAATACTGTTACAATACTCCATATATGATTATTTATTTGAAATAAATAAGCTATATTAAACTAATGAATGTGAATAATGTAAGGTTTATTTAACAGGTATGTTTTTTAAGTTATCTAAACAAAGTAAAAGGGCATTTTTTTATGTAATAAGATCACATTAATGTTATAATTTGAGTGAAAGGTTTTTAGTTGAATTGCACTCAGATATCTACCATTTTAGCACTTCTACCATCCTCTTCCTTTCATGTCATTTCCCAATTGAAACCAAGAACTGGTCCACCTTTGTTCTGATTGTTTATTAAGGTTTTTGTTTAGCTGGAAGTTAAAGGCCAAATATTCTGATGCTTCCAATACATTTACTTCTAGGAGTTACCTGTATTCAGAACCCTTCCATCTTCCAATCAGCTCAGAGTAGCTTTCATGTCGCTGGTAAAGAAAAAGCCACCCACACAGCATGACTTCCTCACATATTCTGGGGACGGCAGGTTCAGGGTGTTTTACATTGTTTTCTTATTCAGTTTTGATGTCATTTTAGAGTTTCCTCCTCCATGTGTTTGCAGTAAGCTACATAGCTTTCATGAAATATGAAGCAAAAGGAGTTTTGTTTGACTTTCTTAAAAAAAAACAAAAACAAAAACATTACGAAAACTCTTTTTTATGAAAAAAAAAAATAAAATTCCCCTCCTGGGCTGCTTTAGGCAGGTAGCCATGCTGGTAGATTTTCATCTGAACCGTATTTCCTTTACTTCAAAACCTGCTTGAACCAGCTCCACAGCTTTTTCTCTGACTTCTCTCCTGTGTTCCTCTGTCTTCATTAAGTCTCCATAGTTGCCCTGGGGCCCCCTGGTCTTCATGATACTGTTTGTTTACTAATCATTGCTAACAAACTGCTGAGACAATAAACAAAATACCTTTATGTTAAGAACAAACCACATACAGACTAACTACTCTTTTTGCACTGTTTGTTCTAGACCAAATTTACCAAGGGTCACAATGGTACGGGGCCAGTGTCTTTTTCATGAAAGCAAAGAACAACAAATGAAAAAAAGAATCAAAATCGACAGCACAATAGTTTGTTGTTTCACACATAAGCTGCATGTTGTGCGTCTGATCAAACAGGTGGAGACTATAATCAGTATGGCTGAAATGAAACTAAAACTGCAAAGGTAAGATATGAAATTAGTTATAGTGTCTTTGCCAGCACATATCATCATAAGTAATTAATTTACTGTTATGTCTTCAGTACAGAGGCCATTATAGTAGCCAGAACCAGTTCTATAGGGGCACTGACCCATTAAACCATGTTTAGGGACACCAGGATAATGGGGCCCAATGGGCCTACTTTTTTCCTAATCTGTGTTATGCTGTATTGTGTTCAAATAGATAATTGAATGAATAAATAGTGACACACCACTGCTTTGTTAGAATCTCTTTTGTGCTTTTATTTGAGGCCATCCTTTTCTACACTCTAAAATTTAGCTATTTTGCCCACTGTCTTAATTATCTAAAAAGAAAAAGATTGAAACCAGGCAAATCACCGATTAGAATAACAGCGCTGCACGCAAAATGTAAGGATGTTTAAACCCTTAACGTGAAACAGAAATCCAAGCAGCCGCCAGGGGGCGCAGTTACTTCGTATTAACAGTGTAATAGGGAGCATCTGATAGGGAGCAGGCTGCTTCCCCTTTAACGGCTGACGCACTTCGTGTCCCACTTTGGAGAAAGCAGCAGCAGCAGCAGCTGTGGGGCCGGAGGGGACGTCGGCGCTTCGCTGGACCCTCACACCGTCCACCATCATGGAGTTTCTGCTGGGGAACCCGTTCAGCTCGCCGGTGGGGCAGCGGATCGGTGAGCCTGTTTCAATTCAAAGCGGCTGAGATCCATAAGGGGCTCAGAAAACCTTCCGCCCGCAGCCTGCAAAGCCTCCTTTCATTCTGTTCCAGAGCCTGGTCTTATTTTAACATATGATGCGTTTAAGGCTCTGTTACATTATGATGAAGGGAAAAAAAATATCAGTTAAAATGCACGAACATGGATGAGGGAAAGCGGCTTACAGGCGTGACTGACGGCCTCAGCAGACAATGATCAGGCTCAATGGGTGGGGGGGCGGTGTTGGTAAAGCGATCGGTCTCTGTTGGGTCGGTTTTTAACCTGCAAACCCCCCCAACCACGTCTGACCCACATTATAGGAGGCTGCAGCTCATTTAAATCACACTGTTGTTCTTTTTTCTTTCTTTTTTAAAATCATTTATTACTAGAAGCACATTGACAGCTCCACTGCACTGAGATTATTTTCATTTAATAAATGTGAGATCCAGAAACTATTATTATGTCCTCATGTTGCAATTAGTGGGCTTTTTGTACCTTTATTTAAATCCTGCTAATATTAGATTTTTAAAGTAATACACTAGGATTATCCTTAGGAGAGAAAATGTAATCATATTCTGAGAAAAATGTAGTTTATTCCCCTTAATCAGAGAGTTATCAACATAGACTCAAGCTTTGTTTTCAATTTACCAGAAAACTCTCACTATAAGAGACAATTTGTGACTGTTTCTGCTTTTTTTGTTTAGATACAGTCACAAATTGTCTCTTTTATAGTGAGAGTTTTCTGCTTTTTTGTTGTTAGATATCATAGATCTGCTTTTTAAAGACCAAACTGGGAGGTGTTCATGCACAAGTGGGCACATTTGTGATTTTGCCCTGATTAGTGTTTCCCAGAATAATCTGATCTAGTTTGTCTCTGAGGAGCGAGACGATTCATCCAGGGTTTAGGAATCTGTTAGGTTTTATAATTATGTATATTTTATACAGGAAATAATTTATCCTTCATTTAAGCAACCAACTTAGAATACCCCCACAGAATGACGATATGGAACTGGGTTCAGAATAATAAAGCAAACTGCCTTTCCTATTGCAGACCAAAACAAATATTCTGTGGTATTTTGAAGGGTTTTCCTTCTTTTTTTTTTTTCTAATGGTCTGCACTTGTTCTGTTTCTTTTTCCTTACATTTCACCCACCTGTTTTGCATATATTTCAGTTTATCCCTGTTGAATTTAAGTCACTGTTTTCTGTTTCCTTATTGTGTGGTCACCTGCCTGTTGCTCCTTTATCCCTGCAAACCACAACAGTTCCAGTATATTGTGTTCATTTTTACCTATTAAAACAACTGCATTTATACCCTTTAAAGAGTGCTTCTTTAGCTTTATTTACTTGTACATTAAAAGCTATGAAAAGGAGGCCAAGGAGCATTACAATGAGCACCCAACAGGGCTGCGTAAAAATTTATTTTTATGCAGTTTAAGCAAAACCAAACACAACCTCTCGTTTAAACACATAAGAAATGTGCAGAAATAGCAACTACTCAGAGTCAATTTGCCATCTCATTGCTCACATTTATACACATGATTTGTCATTTTGTCTCCCATATAGTACTCATAACTCATTCACCAGCTATGTTAAACTCTTGTATTCTAGTTTATTTCCATGCAGATAAATGGCCCGTACTTATAAAGCACATTTTCAAGCCAGGAGACTTGATAAAAGAGCTTTACACTACATTCAGTCATTCACCGATTCACTGATCACACACCTTGGAAAACAAACTTATAGCCACAGTTGTGTTGCGGCTCACTGACCACCATCAGTAGGCAATGCGGGTGAAGCAAAATCCTGCATCAAATGCCACTGTCACTAAAGATAAATGAAATATTAACTAAATACGGGGCAACATACACCTCACACAATGTATTTACATTGACCAGTGAGTGAGTTACAATTTATTACTTAAAGTAATTTGTGGTCAAAGTGGGTTAAAACCATTCCCAGGATGGATCCTTTTAGAAATAACCAATTTTTGCCCAAAATTATATAATTGTTGGAAAATCAAACAATAAAAAAACTTAGAGACATTCAAAGTTCATCCCAATGATGTCTAACATCGAGATTAAGTCATTATTTCCACGTGTGTCAGTGAGCGATTGCTTTAAAACTCCTTTGAAGCAAAGACGTTAGAGATTGTCGTTAGCATCTGATTGTAGCTATTTGCATAATCGAGGCAGTTAAATCCAGCCATGTTAACAGAGAACTCAGACCCTTCTTTTGACTCAGAAATTTCTGAAAGATTACCAACATTTTAAATTGAACATGAATCTATCCGGATTGAAGGTTAAAAGATCTCAAGGTTAATGCTGAGCAGCTTTCCGGCCTTCCTGTTATCTACTGAAATCGACTCTGGGTCGCTTTGTTCCTTAGCCAAATCTGTGCATTTAATGTGGCATGGCAGATGGCTCCTTTTTGTAGAATTAACTTAAAAGTTATGTTTTTGAAGTACAAAAATAGTGGGTTGGGTTTGAAGCTAAAACCTTCTTTCCCCACTGTGACACCATGCAGGTGACACACCGTTTTTAGATATCTGACATCTTATTAAACAACTCAATTAGACTAACAATAGCTGACTTTGAGTCTCCCTCCCTCAGTTACTCACTAAAAGTGTTGTGGTTAACCCAACCAGATAGTACTTAGCTATAGCATGTTTATTGTTTGGGGGAAAAAAAGTTTTTATTTAGCTAGTTTGCCTTCTCCAAACTTCAAATATGATGCTTTTTGGCATCAACCTGAGCTCTCTGCATCTACAGTTTAGTTTGGGTCAACATTTCAGAAAATACAGAAAGATTTAGCTACATAAACACAGGAAACTTAACACAACAAAGCTGTATTCTTCCCTTTCTCTTGTTCTGGTAAATTACATTATTTTTATCAGAATTAGTTAATTAATTTATCAGTTTTAATTATTACCATGAATAAAGAAAAGTCATTAAATGTTATAAGGGTAATACTTTATAAAAAAAATGCGATTAACTACTAGAGGACGTCGAGGGAACTAATGGGGAACCAATAGGTAGTTAATAAAGTCGTAGGGAAGTCATATTAAAATGTCAAATCATTCTGGCTTAAACATGTATATAAATGTACTATTTATCAGACCATAATGTCCCAAAAGTAAGAAAATGTATATTTTGTTTTCATTATCTTATGCAGGCCAGTTACTTATACGTCAGCTTGAAGACCTAAATTCGGCCAATCATATATCAACGCTCATCTGTCAATCATATTTTTCAGTCATAGCATCTTGATTCATATGTTGCAGCTAATATATGCAACGGTTGAAATAAGAAATAAGAATAATTTCCTTTCCCATTGAGTTCCGTCTCAGTGTTCACGGGGATGGATGTCTGTGTCTTCAGCAGGCGTAGAGCTAACAGAACTGGTAGCGTTGCGAGGCAAGGGCTCAAACATGTACGGCTGTAAGCCTTCTACACCAAACCAAGCTTCTGCCACCCTGGCGTCCTCTTCCACAACATCTTCGTCCCCACTTTACTCCTCTAAATAAAAAATGGATGACGGAGGAGACTCATCTACTGCCTCTGACACAAGACTCTCCTCCTCTTGCATGTTGCCGCTGTCCATAGTGTTTCTTGACAGTGGCGTTGCTAAGTCACCAATTTAGTGCTACTTGGTCCCAATGTAATTTCCCATTGGGAACCTACTAGCACTAAGTTGCTAACTGTTTAGCAAGATGCTTCCAAGAAACCGGCCACAATCAAACATGCTTGCGAACCTTCTACCACAACAATCCCGCCCCTTTTGATAAACGACCAATCACATTCACTTTATTCACTCCTGTAAAGTCGGGCACCACTCGGGAGAATTCAGAAATGCAACGGTTGGTACAGCCGTTTCCCTACGACTTTAGTAGTTAACACGTAATTACTGGGCAACACCCAGCCAAGCCGCATTACAGGCCCAATGCTCAGTTACCTGGGTAACACAGAGTAACTAATAAGAAACAAAAGTATAGTTACCAAGGAAACAAAGAGTTACTAATCAGGAGCTAGGATGCGGTTTCCAAAGAAATAAAAAATAACTAAAAAGGATCGAAAGGGTAGTTATCAAAAAAAACGATGAGTAAATAATAACTAACTAAAGGATAGTTGCAGAGGGAACACAAGGGAACTAATCAGGAACTAATGGGTAGTTACCTAGGACAGAGGAACTGGTCAGGAGCTAATAAGTAGTTACCAAGGAAACTAATTAGGAAATAATGGGTTGTTAAATCAGGCTGGCTAATTAAGCAGTGGTTAATTACTGCAAAAACAGAGTAGATATTCTTTAATGTTGGTTCTAAATAAAGACTTGCAAAAAAATGGTTTCCTGTTGATAACTTATTTATTTGGTCATGTCTTTTAGAATAGAATAGAAAAGAGAAAATCCCTTTAATTTCCAACAATGAGGGATATTCTGGTGTTTACAGCAGGAAAAATTATAAATATTATTGTTCAGCTACTATTTTTATGGAGTCAAGCAGTTGCTAGGGAACTAGTTATTACCTAATTAGTACCTAATTATTAGCTAATGTTTATGTTTAGGCCTACCCTGAAGTACAGTGAAACAACCCATTAGTTCCTGATTAGTTCCCTGGATCTAGTAGTTAATTGAATTTTGTGTACCTCATTGTAAAGTGTTACAGTTTTAAGCTCAGTTAAAACATCTGACCACCTATTAATTATTTAAAGGAAAAAATGTAATCAATCTATCATGAAAGACTAAATTGCCTAAATTTCTTTTTCATTTTACAGAGCGTGCCACTAACTCCAGTTTACCATCCGAAGACTGGGAGCTAAACATGGAAATCTGTGACATTATCAACAGCTCAGAGGAAGGGTGTGTGTTATCTGTCATCTTTTCAAATATGTCCCTCCCTGCAGCTCACATGTTTGTTGCAAACTGTGATTAACAGGCCCAGAGATGCAGTCAGAGCCATAAAAAAGAGGATTCTCGCAAACAAGAACTTCAAGGAAATCATGTTTGCTCTTACTGTGAGTATTGGTTCTGTTTATCACTGGGAAATCTAAGAATTGAAGTCTTCTGGCATTTTTTTCTTTGTTTTCCTCATCGTCTCTCTGACTGCAGGTCCTTGAGACCTGCGTGAAGAACTGCGGCTACAGATTTCACATCCTGGTGACGACGCGTGACTTCGTGGAAGGGGTTCTGTTACGCTCCATCATTCCGAGGAACAACCCTCCGCAGGTTGTGCATGACAGAGTCCTCGCCATCATACAGGTGGGGCTGAAGCTGCAGCAGAGCAAAACAAAAGGGCCCAGCCTTTTTCTCCTCATTGTCTGTCAGTAATTTGTGGTTTTCACTCATTAAGGCGTGGGCAGACGCATTCCGCAGCTCACCCGACCTGACAGGCGTGGTGTCAGTGTATGAAGACCTGCGAAGGAAGGGACTGGAGTTCCCCGTGGCTCAGCTCGATGGCTACTCGTCGACTGAAGCTCCAAAAAAGGTGCCGGCAGTGTTGTGTGCACTTTGGTTTCACACCTTAGTGCTTCCTCTTGTCTTTGCTCATTCCTTTCTCTTGTCTTCCCACTGCCTGTCTGTGAGGCAGCATTTACCCAGGAATGGGCCTACTGTTACTACTTTACCTGCTATGCGCCTGTCTTCTAAACCTCCTCTCATCCCAGCTCACACCTCTGAGCTCAAATTGGCCCTGGAGGGAACCGGTGCCTTCACTCCTAGCCAGGTGATGCAGATAGAAGATGATCTCCAAACTTCAGTCCACTCCTACAAGTTGCCTTTCTTTGTGCTGATTAACAACTGCTTATCATTTCTATTTCCCATGTTGTCCTTTAACTTTTAACTATTTAATTTTTCTTTAAAGATTAGAGATGAAAATTCGTTTTTGTTGATTTTTGATCACTGCTCTTCTAGAACCCAGCCCCTCCACTTCATATTTTTCACATAAGTAATAAGTATATGTAAAAAAAAAAAGGCTGGTTCTTTTCACTTCTTTAACAAGAGCACCGAATTGACAGGGTGTACGAATACAGAAAATAGTATTTGGGTGAGGAAGAAGATATTCTGCAAGAATAACTAGAACAGTTTTGAGGCTCAGGGGGCAGCAGTTTGCCCTTAAACGGGTGAGTTGCTGGTTCCAGCCCCCGCTTTAACCATCTCAGGTGTCTTTTGGCAAGAAACTTCCCGCCTTTCGTTCTTTTGTCTTTAGACGTAGTTTCCATCTCTTTCTGTTCTGGTTTGAGATGCTGCAAAGACTTGTTAAGTGGGGCTTTGCTTTATAGCTGCACAGGTTGTTTTTTAATTTATTAACTTAAATAACTCTTCATAAACTGTCCAAGTCAAATGTGGGAAATTGTTTGAATTTGTGTGTAGCACAAAGACAGAAGTGAACAAAATAATCTGCACAGATCTGCTCACCCTGCCTAGTCAGAGCCTCTATACGCACTCAGTGTGATATAAAGAAAATGGTTGAAAAGTCGTACGCAACCAGTTTGAGGCGGCCTTAACCCTCCTGGTTCCTGCTAACAGCTAAGCAGTGGCATTTTGGAACAGCTTCAGTTTATTGAGAGATTGCTTTGAAGCTCCAGAAAGACCAATACAGTAGTCTATATAACAAGAAAAGGGTTAGATGAACAGATATATATAGAAGTGTATCATCTGCATATGAACAATAGGTAACACCTTGGTGTCCTATTATCAAATAGATGATTCATTTATACAACTGAATAAAAGAGAACCAGGAATGGATCTTTGTCTAACACCATAGTCTATATTTTATCTAAGATCAAACAAAATAACTAAGATCGGATTATTACCCTGCACCTAATAACTCCGATATCAGCATACTGATTAAAACACATCTCTCGCTAAAGTTTATCCAAACTGTTGGCTAATAATAAATCGGCCAGTTGCTTTGATACCTTGTTCATTATTGTGTTTTTAGTTTTATGCTAATATCATATCTGGTTGGTATCAGTATCAGTCAGTTCTCAAAGGTGCGATATCGGTATCGTTTAAAGATGTACTAAGGTCAACGAGAAGTACGTCTGAAAACGAGTATTCAGATCTTAACAACTCTAATCAGTGCAGTTTCTTTGCTATGATCCAATCTAAATGCAGACTGGAAAATGTAAAATAAATTAGGTAATAAGTAAGTATGAATTTACTTATTTATCATACAAAGAAAAAAATAATTATTCTTAATAGAACATTTCTGGCACACATTGGTGGCAACTTTTTAATCGGTAGGTGGTTGTTGAGTTTCAAAAAAGTATACCGCCCACTAGTGGCCTGCCATGGAAGTTACACCATTTCTATTGTACACAAAGTTGGTAAATATACTGTCATGCAGATGCAGTAATAGAATAATAATCCAATTTTCAATAGATCATTTTCATGCGCATGGAACCTAACTTTAGAGATTTCCAGGACTGACAATACTTCCTAATCCAGAAAGAGATGAAGAAATGTTCAGTTGAAAAGGGCAAAACACAACAGCTTTTACTGTAAAATCTCCAGCTCCCTGTTATCTTGTAGAATCTCCATGTTTAAAGTGGCAGCCTAATAGAGCAGCAAACATTTCTTGTAGTATTATTCGTTCAGAACTTAAAGCTGCAGGGAACATGCAGTTTTCCTTTTAGACACTTGGTACAGCTTTTGTGTTTCCTCTGACATCCCTTTCAAACATTTTACTGATACTGAAAATAACTTACTTTGAATGTTACAACCTAACATAGTGGGGGTCTAGATATGCTACATTCACTGGTTGGATAAAAAACTAAGATTTATCTAAACTGTGTGTCCAGAATTGATGGAGCTATTAATATGATTTTGATTTCTTGCAACATCTCTACTTAGAGGTCGGTTTGTTTACTGAATATTTCCAATGTTGCAGATAAAGATGCTAAAGACGGAGCTGGGAGTGGTGCGTTGCAACCTCTCCACCATGTCAGAGATGATGAGCCAGCTGGATCCAGTCACAGTCAAACAAGCAGACATGGAGCTGCTGGAGGTAAAACTTCCTCTGTCACACAGTAAATGTGAGCCTCATGGCATCGACAGTCTTTGTTCTTAGTGCTCCAGGAAAGGGATTTCCTTCCTCTCTTGTTGCTTGACTCTGTGTTGCCCTTAACTGATCTAGCACTTTATGCGTTTTTGTGTTGCATCTGGCCCTTCAATCCCCTCCCCACCCACACATGCTTTGTCTTATTGTGTCATTAGCAGTTGTACACTGTATGTAAGGAAATGCAAGACAGGATCGTGAAGATCATCCCTAGACTCAGTGAGGAGAATCTGATCGAGGAGTTACTGGCCACCAACGACGAAATGAACACCGCCTTCACTCGCTACCACAGGTAACCACATCATTAGTAACACCAAACGTCAGTGAATCGCAGGTGGGTGATTATTTTTTCTGTTTACAGGTTTGAAAGGAGATTAACAAATGGGCAAAGCTCAGAGCAGAAGGTAAAGAGCAGCCACGCATTCAAATTAGTGTAAATTTACTGTCATAAGGTTTGATTTTAAACTTTTCCTCTGATCTGTTTCAGAGCCCCTCTTATGTGAACCTGTCGGATTTCGATTCACCTATCAGCCAATCAGGGTTAACTTCAGTTAAAAGCGACAGCTCCCTCAGTCTGTCTAAGCCGGACAGTTTGTCCAGTCAGTTGGCTAAACTGAGTGAGTGCTCTTTTTTATCAATGTAGCTCTCCGTGTGACACTCCTTACTACGTAAACATGGTACCCAGATTATTCATAAAGTAGTGAAATTTATAAATCGTTTTGTTTTTGTTTTAAAATGCCACCAACACCCACAAATGTTGCCTGTTGCTTCATGTAAAAAAAAAAAAAAAAATCTGCTGGTTTCAGTTCATCTTTTTGGGGATTTTTTCATAAAATAATAAGTCAAATGTGTAAAAAACCTTTTTATTCCAGTAGTTAAACTCATCTAAATCATTGTCCTGTGGAAGAATGATACAAACCCACACCCGATTGACATCCGAAATGTGTGTTGTTTAAACTCTGCATCTATTAAATTACATTGAAGTGAACATGGTGTGCAAAGCCTGCTAGCAATTCCCTTGCGTCTGCATTACTGAAAGTACCTATGCATTTCTTAGTTACCTACTTAATTTCAATTAATGGGCTTTTTCCTCACTTAAGTTTCTTATAAAATGTAAGTTTCATGATAAAAATGACCTATATCGCTTTGTTTTCAATCACCCCCTCCGGAAGGTGACCTTAAATTAAAGGGCGACGAAATTTAAGCTGTAAAATAATCATGTTTCACAACAAAAAATGAAAATTTAAAGGTATACTATGCAACCGGTGTTGATTTTCCAGCGAGGCTCCCCCCACAGGGCGAAAGTAAAAGTGCACTGTCGTAAATATGCTCAGCTGTTCTCCTGGTTTCTCCATCAAGCCAGGCACGGTTGTTTTGAGCTCTGTCCAGAGCCCTTTTCCTCTTGCTTACCTGCTCCGACATGGGCTTTCGCTGTTTTCTCGCTGGTTCTGCCATGATAAATGCACAAATATCGCCACTGCGCTACCAACGAGCATGCCTTTCACTGGGGGCGTGCAGCAGTTCTCGCCGTAAAGCAAGACCGACTCTCGCAATGCACGAGACTTCTGAGCCTGTGGGTGCGGGCCGAGGGCTCCTGCAATTGCAATACGGTATTTCCCCTGCAGACCACCAGGGCGGCCGAGAAAACCTTTGTTCGACCTGAAATGACTCATTTAATCATCCAAAACGTTATTCAAAACACATCAATTAACTGAAAAATGTTGCATAGTATGCCTTTAACTAAGTATTTGTGGCTGGTAATATCCCACGGTGGGCTAGTTTATCAGTTATGAGTAGACATCTAAGAACAAAAAGTGATTAATGGATGTCAGTCTGAGTTGTGGAATAAAAAACTAATTTGGTGAAAGAAATCCAGATTTTTACAAAGATTAAATACTCAAAATCCAAAAATGTTTCCATTGTGAGATCTAGGGCTGCACTAACGATTGTTTTGAAAATCGATTAATCTGTCGATTTTTTCGATGAATAATCAGATAACCAATGGCTCCTTAAAGAGTTTTTTTTTTTTTTACAATATTAAACCAGGTAAAAGTAAAACTTTTAAACTCGAGGAGTTCTGTATAGAGCAGAGTTCATGGATTAGCGGACCATGGTCCGGATCCAGACCCACCTGCTGGCTAATCTGGACCCAACCTGATTTAAAACATTTGTGAATAACAGCATGTTGTCTGACCACAGTGTCTAACTTCACTTGGCGTTGCTTCTCCTGTTATTATGGTAAAGCCCTCTGGAGCGTCCGGCATCACTTGATACAAATGAGCCAATGAGCTGCTGTCAGTCTGGGTTGCTGCTGCTGGCACTTTTAGACACAGCAGGTAAACCTGTGGCAAGCCGGGCGATGGGAAAGAAGGAGAAGACGAAGAGAAAAAGAGAGCAGAGAAAGTGTTGACTGCTGGAAGAACTTTGGGTAACTGGCGAAAGAAATGGTGTTGCCAGAGATGACCCTGCACATTTAGAGTATGTTTGGCTCAACCTGCTGCTGTGAAGCAGGATTCTCCACCATGAACAGAATCAAAAATAAATATGAATCCAGGCTCAAAGTGAGCACCTTGATATGTGCTTGAGGACGGTTTGTCTCACTTTCAAACCCAGGTTTAAAGCCTTGCAGGGCTGCATAAAGCCCACTGCTCTCATTAAGACTGAAAAAAGAAAGAAAACAAACGGTGACTTCAGTTGTTTTATAGAATATGTGAATCAGGAAATTGTCTATATACCAAACGGAACGACTGTTGTAAATAATGTTCTATTTGTTTTTTTTTATTTTTTTATTTTTTTTATTTAAAAATTCAATGTATAACATGGATGCATAAACACCTCATTTTATTTCAGTGTTAAATTCTGTTTAAAGTAAGATTATAATTAAAAACGTCTCTGGACCTTTACTGGTTGATGATTTTCCACTGATTTTGAAATGGTTACCTCTGGTATAGAGCATTTTTATACATGTTTTTAGAATTTTGATATAATTACTGCTCTAAGTGGGTTGCTTCATCAGCTGAAGGCAAATTTTACAGTCTCTATACTCCAGTTAACGATTAATCGATTCCTAAATTCGTTGACGATTATTTCAATAATCGATTAATCACGGTTAATCCGATTAATGTTTCAGCCCTAGTGAGATTATATTATTAAAATAAAGGCAACATTTGTTTTTGTAGTTCTTTACACATTCTTTCCAGTAGTGGATATGAAATATAATATAAAAGGTAATTTGCTTGACATTTTTTTGTTGTTCAGTAAAATAGTTTGTTTGTTGGGTTCACTATTAATCCCTGTTAATAGTAACTGTTTCAGCCCTTAACACTTTTTTTGTTCTGTTCCTATTTTCACTCACAGGTACAAGTGAATCAGATGACGTGTTATCACAGAAAATAAACATCTCAAGCCAACAAAGACTGAGGTAAAAAAAAAAATAAAAATCAGCAGTAGATTAATGAGCATTAAATTATACAAAAAAACATAATTTTGTTTCCAATCTCTGATTATTATTTTCGACATGACTCTTATGATTTTAGCTCATTCAAATTTTATTATAAGATTATATAATAACAGGAGAAGACAAAAAAACGAAATGGTCAAAGCATAAACAAATTTAATTGATTTTAGCATCTTTTATTGGGTCTTAGTGATGTGGCTAGAAACACCAACAGAGCATTGTTAGAGTTTTTTCTAAATTTTCTAATCTGTGTTTTCTCAGGGTTTTTTTTTCTGACTTTTTTGCACTGACACTTTACTGTTACTTTGATTAAGTTGTGTTCTCTCTGTAACAGCTTCCAGAATTACAGGTTTTTCTTAAGGTGTGAATAAATAATAATGCCTTTACAGATGAGAAAAGATGGATTTCTGAAAATATATGAAGTCTGCCTGAAGGTCAGACATGTAATAAATACTATGGAGCTAAATTTGGCTCAATTTTCACAAATACACATATGTGATTCATACATGCACAGGACAAACTCCACAAACACACAGCACGATTCACGCAAGCACAAAAAAATCCATACACACACAGTGTGCTTGGATGTAAGGAGTGCGGAGACAGAGGAAAATCTATGGAATGCGTATAACTAAGGGTATGCTGGCCTGATGCGATATGCTGAGCTGACATACCGCATCATGGAGTAGTTTCTTGTGATTGGCTTACACAAGGGAGCTCTATGATTGGTTGCAAACCATCCCCTATATAAAAAACTGCGTTTTTGTATTGAGGCACGTCAGGAGAGTCTCAAAAATCCACAAATGCAGTGAAGTTTAAAGACCACTGCTACTTTGTAATTTAATTTCTAATTGTTGTGGACCAAAAATACTTTGGTGAATCATGTACTGTGTATGTGTGAATCTTGTATGCTTGCAGGAATCGTGCTTTGTGTGTGTGTGTGTGTGTGTGTGTGTGTGTGGAGCTTGTACTGTGTGTGTGGATTGTTTTGTGCTTGCGTGAATCATTCTTTGTGTGTGGAGCTGGTCCTGTGCATGTAAGAATCACATATTTGCATCTGTGAAAATTGAGACTGATTTAGCTCCATAAATACTGATACAAGCAATTTTCATTAAAACACATACATGGCTACTCTCCACATTTTTAAAGTTCTTAAGGTGGAGATTTAATACTATAAAGCCAGTGTTGCCAAAGCATTTTATTCAAAAACATTAAGAAAATCACCCAATTCCGATGCATCTCTAGTTAAAACTGTTCACCTAAGAAAAGAGTCATCCATCAGTAGCTTCCAATTAAATGTTTCTTGAGTTATCAAACTGGAGAAAAGAAAAAAGAAATCACTCTTTTCAAGACAGAAACCTTTTCCTTCATTCATAACTGTGTAACCAACAAAAGGTTTATCTTAGGTTCAACTTTGCTCTTTTGACTTTCCATGGCAGGTGATTAATTTGCAAATCTTGTGTTTCCAGTGATATGAACGAAGTGGACGGTCTGGCTCAAGCCCAGGATAGCACTTTACAAAACACTGGATTGGTAAGAAGAGACACTGGCATCTGGCATTTATACAAATTAAGAAGTTTAGTCACATGATTGAACTTATAGTCTGACATGGGACTTTTGAACATGTGGGAGTCAAAATGGAAACTCCTTAAGATTATAAAAATATTTGACTTGAAGTGAGGTTTTAATGTTACAGAGATGCACAGTATTTGTATAAGGATGTAAAAAACATGTGAGCACATGAGGTGGCACCTATGAGGAGGAATAGCTATTTCTCTCTGTTTCCTTTTCATTGAACTTTGTGTGTGCGTGCAAGAAGGATGAGAGTCCCGCCTCGACCCACAGCTCTTCACCAAAGTTAGATTGGATGATTAAAAGGGGAATGGTGGGTCTGACTGCACAGCCAGTGTGTAAATGCTTGCTTTTTTGTCCCTGCAGTTCTGCGGTTTCACACATGTTGTGTTTTGGGTTCCTTTCTGTTTGGGTTAATCAGGATTTGAGATCAACCATAGTTTTCTCTGCATGTTGGTGTTGAATTCTGAGGGCATGACTGTGTTCTTTGAAAGTGTTGAGCCAAAGTTATTATTTTTTATTTTTCTCACTTCTTGAGATTTCTCCATTCATTGCTTTGTTTAGCAGTTTTATTTTCCCGTTTGTTTACTTTTGGGCTTGTTTACGGTGGTTTGGTGGCACGTTAATATCATTGTTTCACTTCCAGCCCTCCTGCCAAAGCCTGAGCTTTACTTTCTTTTTCAGATTCCCATCAACCAGTCCAACGTCATGGATGATATAGAGAAATGGCTCTCATTAGAAGATGAGGTTAGTAAAAGGACTTTATGTTCCATGCCTTTTCCAATAAAATTTTAATATTTAAAACACACAGTGTTCTCTAAACCACTATTGGGTCAAGCTTCTTTTAAAAATACGTTTTCCATTAAAGACTGAGCTGTTTTATTTTGAAAGGTCAAGGCAGGGCCTTTATTCCTGTGAACTGGGCTGACAAGCATGGTGGTGGTAGCATCATAGACTGCTCCAATATGCAAAGCTGATGTGCCGATAAAAACCAAACAACTTTAAATTCTTCTTTTTAAACTGTTTAAGTTAAGAGTTAACTTTCTAACTTACTAAACACACCTAGTGAAATGTGTTTCTACCAATCTTTTTGTGTGCATTTTGAAGTATTACATTAGAGAGATTCAATGGAAACAGCAAATTTCGAATCAACTGACTAGATTTCGTGAAAAGGTTTCTGCCGTCGCTTGAGTTAGTTTTTGATCTTTTCTAAAAAAAAAAACTAAAAAACTATATATATATATATATATATATATATATATATATATATATATATATATATATATATATATATATATATATATGCACTAAAGTGGAGATGGATACAAAATTGTTGAATGAGTTCTGACCCATCGTCTCTCATGACTGAGTTGTTTCCCCTGAATGCTAGCACTAGAATCACTCTTCTCCATCTACATCTCCGGATGTGTGTACCATTGCTAATGCTAGTTGACATGATGAAGGATGTGTAGCATCCCCGATTGCAACACATTTATTACAATTCTGGTCCATTACTGATCAGTGGTTCACGCTAGCTTTCTACCTCTACTTCCTGTTTACTACAGGGAAGGGATGACATCACGCTTTGCATCGCCTGGTTAATACTTTCCAACGGATGGAAAGCTGTCTCGTTAGCATTAGGAAAGGAGTTCCTGATTTAATTTATTGTAACTTTCTTTTTCCAGATGCTTGCATGGTAAAAGAAAAAAAAAATATTTTGCTCAAGTTTGAACAAAATGTGTGTTTAGAAAATCTTCTCATCAACTCTTTATTGAGCCGATTATCGTCTTACTTGCTATCCCTGGTACAGATTTTAATAAAGCCTTAAAATGACTTTAGTATTTCTTAATTATGATCTCACACTTAATTGAGGTACATCATTTCAGTAGGGGAAAAATTCCCATCTAAAGATATACGTAGCTTATCTTCAACTTAATTATTGCAGAAAAGCAAGCAAGTGAAAACAAAGCCCAGACAAACTCAGGATACTTTAAATAATTAAGGCATTTTGCATGATCAGCAAACATTAAGGCAAAAACAATGGATACATTTGTCTCACATAATGTTAGTACTGAGTTAATATTTAAGTCATTTCAAGGCAAACATTAAAAAAAGAGCAGAAATGATCATGGACAAGACCACTTTTTGGTTTTTTAAAAAGATTTAACTCTGTTCCTTCCTCTACATTTGTCTCTGAATTGCATTTCCCGTCTTTTATGAAACATTTTTTTAACAAAACGTCCATATCAGCTATGCCTGGCTAATGCTAAATCCTGGGTAGTATTTTCAGAGTTTTGTTTTACTTCTGGACTAATCTAAATTCCTGATTGGTCTGTTGCTAACAAGCCTATAGGACTGACTGGCAAGTGGCATCACATTATTTAGTGACACATCAACCATAAACAGTCAACTGCTTTAGGAACATTAAAGGTTACTGAAACACTTATTTTATTGATGTTTTATTAAACCAATCAACATCATCTTTTTCTGTTGAACCACTAACCCAGATTACAAAATATTTTTCTTATTCTACCCGTTATAAAGGAAGATGAAGATTTCTGCAGCAAAGGCTGACATTTTAGGGTCGCGACCTCTCCATAGCAACAATTAGACATCATCTTCAAGCTGTGATGCTATTAAAAACTGATTTCTCTGCCTTTCACTAAATGTGGAATTTGTTAAACTCCCATAGGATTTTAACTGAGCCTTAGTTCACCAAAAAACTCTCGATGTTAGTGTGACAAATTCAATTTAGTTTATTTATACAGCGGCAATTCACAACGCGTCACTTCAAGGCCCTTTACAACTCAACCAGATGATACAGTCAAATTGATTCAAAGTTTTCTATCTAAGGAAAACCAGCTGATTGCATCGACTCATTGACTCGGAGGCAATCCCTCACTCTACGCATGCTTGTAGCAACATTGCAGAGGAAAAACTTCCTTTTAACAGGAAGAAACCTCCAGCAGAACCAGGCTCAGTGTGAGCGGCCATCTGCTGAGGCCGGCTGGGGTTCAAGGAGACAGGAGCAGAGATACAGAAAGAAGCACATAAACAAAAGGCAACTGTAAAGCAGCTCCAAAGGCGGCCGCGTCCAGGAAACACACAGCAAGGCAGACGAGCTCCGAGCCAGCTCCCATGTCCGAGGATGAAATGAGCACATGTAGCCAGTCACAGTCAGAGGAATGAATATGCAGAAAAACTTTGGCACCTTAGAAGAGCTGTGATGCTTTGGGCCTGGTT